ATGCAAATCAAAACCACAATAAGATACCACTTCACACCCATTGGGATGACTATTACTTAAAAAAAACACACAGAACAAAATAACAAGTGTTGGTAAGGATATAAAGAAATTGGAGCCCTCATGCATTGCCAGTGGGAATGTAAGATGATGCAGCTGCTGTGGAAAGCAGTATGGCAGTTCTTCAAAAAATTAAACATAGAATCACTGTATGATCCAGCAATTCCACTTCTAGGTACACACCCAAAAGAATTGACAGCAGGGACTTAAAGGTATTTGCATGCCAATGCTTATAGTAGGATTATTCACAATGACAAAAGGTGGAAACAACCCTAATGTCCATCAAGGATGAGTGGATAAACAAAATGTGGTACATACATATAATGAAATCTTACTCAATCTTAAAAAGAAATGAAATTCTGATATATGCTATGACATGGATACACCTTGAAAACATTAAGCTAAGTGAAATCAGACATACAGAAAAGGACAAATATCATATGATTCTATTTACATGATCTACCTAAAATAGTCAAATTCATGGAGACAGAACAAAGAACAGGGCTGGGGGAAGGGAGAATGGAAAGTTCTTGTTTAAAGAATAAAGAGTTTCAGGCTGGGCTGATGGAAGAAATCCTGGAGATACCTGGTGGTGATGGTTGCACAACACTGAATGCACTTCATGCAACTGAATTGTACAATTTTAAATGGTTAAATGGTAAATTTTATAAAATGTATATTTTACCACAAAACAAATTTAAGCTCCTCTTATATATAGATGTATAGATATACACAGAAAAATAAAAATTTTAAAGGAAATAACCAAAGGAGAGAATATTTCAAAATTGGTAATAGGTTGATAGATAAGAGCCTATACAAATTGATTTAAAAAAAAAAAAACCACAAGAGCACTGAGTAGAAAAATTAGCAAGATATTGACAGTTCACAAATGAAAGAAAAGGCTAAAAACATGAAATCATCTTTCTCTTCACTGATATCAAATAAATGCACCTTAAAATACTACTCTTCACCATTGAAGCTGGCAGCGTATTTTCCTTTTTTTTTTTTTTGAGACAGAGTCTCGCTCTGTCACCCAGGCTGGAGTGCAGTGATGCAATCTTGCCTCCTTGCAACCTCCACCTCCAGGGCTCAAGCAATCCTCCCACCGCAGCCTCCCAAGTAGCTGGGACTACAGATATGCACCACCACATGGGGCTAAATTTTGTATTTTTGGTAGAGACAGGGTTTCACCGTGGGGCCCAGGCTTATCTTGAACTTCTGGCCTCAAGTGATCCTCCCTCCTCAGCCTCCCAAAGTGCTGGGATTACAAGCATGAGCCACCATGCTGGGCCAGATTTTTCAAATAATAACTACTCAGAGCTCACAAGTTTGTTTTTAGTGGGAAAACAGTTTTGAACAAATCTTTGAGAAAGCAGTAAGCACCCTTTGCATCTTTAATTCCACTTTTAGGAATCTCTCATAAGCCAAGATACTACCCCCCACAAAATAATACAACATAATGTTTATTGTAGAACCAATTATTACTGAGAAAAAATTCAGAGGAACACAGTCATTCAGAAATAAGGAAATGGCTAAAGAATTTATCTGACTTAATACTATAAAAATATATTTTTAAAGGATTTTAATGGCATGAGAAAAGTTTCAGCTTACAACATGGAGCTAAGTAAAAAAGAACACATAGCTGCATGTAGACTGGTCCCAATTCTATTCCAAAAGCTTGACTTGATTTCTGTCTGGGTGGTAGGTGATGTTTTATTTTCTTCTTTACGCTTTTTTTGTATTTTCCAAGTTTTCTACAAAGAACATGAATTTCTTTAATAATTTTATAAACGATGTTTATACCTCTCAATCTAGTAATTCTACTCATAGAAAATCACTCTAAAGGAATAATAATTTTTAGAGAGATGAGGTTTCATTCACCATGTTGCCCAGGCTGGTCTGGAATACCTAGGATTAAGTGATCCACCCCCTTCAGCCTCTCAAAGTGCTGGGATTACAAGCGTGAGCCACCAAGCTCAGCTTCTTTTTTTGTTGTTGTTTGTCTGTTTTTTTTAAGAGATGGAGTCTCACTCTGTAGCCCAGGCTGGAGGACAATGGTATGATCATAGCTCACTGCAGCACAACCTCCTGGGCTCAATCTATCCTCCTGCCTCAGCCTCCCATGTAGCTGGGACCACAGATACATGCTACCATGCCTGGCTGATTTTTTTCATTTTTTGTAGAGACAGGATTTTACCATGTTGCCCAGGCTAGTCTCAAACTCCTGGGCTCACTCGATTTGACTGCCTTGGCTTCCCAAAAGTGCTGGGATTATAGACATGAGCTACTGTGCCTGGCCTTGAAATAATTCTAAATACAGAAAAAGCTTTGTGCAGGGATTATTGAAAAATAATCTGGTGTTATTTATAATGACAAAATATTGGAAAATTTGGGGAAGGTAAAGTAAATCCTGGCATATGCACTTGGTAAGCTACACAGCCTGTTAAACCCAAGTTTAGGAAGAGTTTATAATAACATGATAAATGCATAGAATTAAGTGAAAAAATCAGGACACAAAATTTTATATGTAGTATGATCAAAAGTACATGTACCAGCCTAAGCAACATAGTGAGACCTCCATCTGTACAAAAAAAAAATTTTTTTTAATTAGTCAGGCATGGTTGCATGCCCCTATAGTCCCAGCTACTCAGGAGGCTGAGGCAGGAGGATCGCATGAGCCCGGGAGTTCAAAGCTGCAGTGAGTTATGATCGTGCCACTGCATTTTAGCCTGGCGAACAGAATAACCCTGCCTCCAAAAAATGGTACTCAAAACTGTGCTGAAAATAAGAAAAAGACTCAACCAAAATACAGCAAAAGATTAACACAAGGTACCTTTTGGTAGTAAAACTTGGGTTTATTTACCTTCTGTTTATTATATATTTTTTCATGTTCTCTGCAGTGAGCATATATGACTTTTAAATAGAAAAATGTTTTAAGCAAAACAGCTGACTTAGCCTGTGAATAGTGAAAATTGTTAGTGGTTGTTATTTTCCTTCTTATTCTCCATTTTCCAAATTTCCTACATGGCATTTATTGATTTTTATCATTTAAAAGTTTATATAATTTTATAAAAGAGCAATGAGCAAGTAAAGATGATTTCCTCTTCCCACTCCTATGAGGACTATTCTTTGAACGGAGCTGCAGCCACTATTTTCTGAGCTGCCTTTTGTGGCAGTCTTTGGGGCTACCCAATGCATTTACCAAGGAGAATTGCTCATTACCTCATCTCTGCAAGCCGGGCTGCTTTCCAATTGTTCCTTCTCTGTAATGCATTTGTAGCGCTTCTGATCTTTCAGAGTGAGGTGATGATTCTGGGATTAGCTTCCACCCACTTGGAGGCAGGTGCCTTGGGTCCAGGCAGTGCACACCTGTGGCATAGGGCAAGGCTGAGCAGTGAAGGTGCGCCCAACTCTCTGTCATCTACCTATCACATACCACACATGACTCATCCATAGTACAAGCAGTCAAATTGAGGTCTTTGTCACAGTGGGTTCTAAGTAACACATTTGGATAGAAAAATTAATTTACGCAATCGTCTAGTGCTGCATTCGTTTCCTGGGGCTGCCATGATACATTACCACAATTTGAGTGGCTGAAAACAACAGAAATCTATTCTTTCACAGTTCTGGAGGTCAGACGTCTGCCATTGAGGTTTCAGCAGGGCCACATTTCCTCTGAAGGCTCTAGGAGAGGCTTCCATGACTCTCTCCCAGCTTCTCTCTGTGTGTGTATGTGAGTCAGAGTCTCTGTCGCCCAGGCTAGAGTGCAGTGATGCTATCACTGCTCACTGCAACTTCTAAGGGTTCAAGTGATTCTCCCGCCTCAGCCTCCAAGTAGCTGGGACTACAAGCCCACACCACCATGCCTGGCTAATTTTTGTATTTTAAGTAGAGACGGGGTTTTGCCATGTTGCCCAGGCTGGTCTTGAACTCCTGACCTCAAGTGATCTGCCCGCCTCGGCCTCCCAAAGTGCTGGAATTACAGGCGTGAGCCGCCATGCCCAGCCTCTATCCCAGTTTCTGGTGGATGTGGGAAAACTTGGCATTCCTGTGCTGGCAGCTGCATCATTCCAATCTCTGCCTCCAGCATCACATGGCATTCTCTGTGGGTGTCTCTGTGTCCCTGTAAGGGTACAAGTCACTGGATTTGGAGTCTACCCTAATCTAGTATGACCTCATCTTAACTAATTAATTACATCTGCAAAAACCCTATTTACAAATAAGGTCACATTCACAGGTACCAAGAATTAGGACTTCAACCTATCTAGGTGGACACAATTCAACACACAACAACCACCATGCTGATAATAAAGTGGAAACCAACAATGTGGTTTAGACTTAAAGTTACACTCCAGAAATTCTCATTCCCCCGATCCCTACCACACCACCCACTACCCCAGTTTGCAGTAATAATAGTTGTTTACTGGCTAGGCACGGTGGCTCATGCCTGTAATCCCAGCACTTTGGGAGGCCGAGGCGGGCGGATCACGACGTCAAGAGATCGAGACCATCTTGGCCAACATGGTGAAATCCCATCATCTCTACTAAAAATGCAAAAAAAATTAGCTGGGCTTGGTGGCACATGCCTGTAGTCCCAGCTACTCGGGAAGCTGAGGCAGGAGAATTGCTTGAACCCAGGAGGTGGAGTTTGCAGTGAGCCAAGATTGCACCACTGCACTCCAGCCTGGTACCTGGTGATGGAGCGAGACTCTGTCTCAAAAAAAAAAAAATAGTTGTTTACCTAAAGTGCTCTTGAATGCCAAATTTACTATCTCAATGCACACCAACTGTTTCCTCAATTAGTGCCTCATGCATTAACTGTTAAGAGTATCATGGCCTTTGACGGTTACTGAAGCTCTCCTGAATGCCTGATGTGTTCTTGGGAGTAGTTTGTTCACATGTTGGGAGAATTGGCTCACCTGATCTGATTGATGCATTTGCAGTTCCAGGAGATGCCTACACCGATTATGTAGCTACAAGATGGTACCGAGCTCCTGAACTTCTTGTGGGAGATACTCAGTATGGTTCTTCAGTCGATATATGGGCTACTGGTTGCGTTTTTGCAGAGCTCCTGACAGGCCAGCCACTGTGGCCTGGAAAATCAGATGTGGACCAACTTTATCTGATAATCAGAACACTAGGTATGAATTGCATTTTATGGCAACAGAGTTGCTGAATTGTTATAGCATTCGTATGTTATTGTAATTTAAAAAACAAAACAAAACAAAAAAACGAGCTGTATTGCGTCTCCAAAGTGCCACTCAGGATGATTATTCTGGGGTCTGGGTTTTAGCCAAAGCCCAATCCTTTTTTAAATATCTAGAACCATAACTCATCTCAGGGAGTTCTCAGATGCCTTTCCAAGAAAAGTCAATTAGCCATGGAATAAACTATACATTCACTTTACGTATCAGACAAGATAGGGATACGGATATGAGTCAGCTGCCTAGAGCTTAATCTAAGATGTTTGATCAAATGCAATTTCTGTCCACCGTGAAAGAGGTTTCCCCACTTTACTCCAGAACAGGAATCAGCAAATTGTTTCTGTAAAAAGCCAGATGGTAAATATTTTAGGTTATGCAGGCTGTACAGTCTCTGTTGCAGTTCCCCAACTCTGCTATTGTAGTGCAAAAGCAGCCATACACAGCATGTCCACAGATGAGCATGGCTGTGTTCCAACAGAGCTTTATTTATGGACGCTGAAGCTTTAATTTCTTATAGTTTTCATATACAACAAAATATCAAAAAATCTTTTTTGACTTTTAAAAATCTGCTTAGGCTGGGCATGGTAGCTTATGCCTGTAATCCCAGCACTTTGGGAGGCCAAGGCAGGCAGATTACCTGAGATCAGGAGTTCGAGACCAGCCTGACCAACATGGAGAAACCCCATCTCTACTAAAAATACAAAAAATTAGCCAAACATAGTAGCTTATGCCTGTAATCCCAGCTACTCAGGAGACTGAGGCAGGAGAATCGCTTGAAGCTGGGAGGCAGAGGTTGCAGAGAG